TTTCTCTTGCCACAGAGTAGTGATCATGTTCCATTTCCTGGTGTGTCTGTGGAAATTGGGAAGGTGGTTGAAAGGAGCTGGGTGTGCATGCTCTGCAGAGGCCCCACGGAGCTAGAGTAAGACGTGTCAACTGAATGAACTTCCATTTAGAATCTTGCATGAGAGCCTAACATTCTCGACCCTTGCTCCTGATGGCCATTTTCAGGACCATGTGCATGGTCCAGTCAAGGGGGTGGCCGGCCCACACCGGACCCACAATGCTTTGCTGGGCGGCGCGTTTGAGACTGCCTTTAACGTCAGAGCTGGCGCAAGTACGCAGGAGAACCTCGGTCTCAGGAGTTTTTTGGTGAGTGGCCCTCTCAGAGCATTGCTTCCTAAGCAGCATTGTGGGCTGAGGATGCCGGGCTGCTCGGAAGGGAGTGGACAGGGTGGGGCTCACTCAGGGTTTCCAGTCAGGATTATCTGCTCTGCATCTGTTTGTCTGGAGAAATGACTGCGGGCAGGGTGCCCCTGGTAATGGCCAGTTCGTCATCTCTGTGGCCTGGCAGCTGCCTAGGCTCAGGGATGCAGGGATCAGAGTTACCCTGGAGAGCGGTAGCTTGGCCTCCAAGGCCAAGCCTCCTTGGGGTGGGATTCAGCCAACGTGGGCACCTGTGAGCCCCCACCCCAACCAAGCAGTATGTAATGGACAGGGAGTGGTGTCCATGGAATATTTAAGAGCAAAGTCCAGCATTTCCGCTTTTTATGTCTTTAGACTAGATGTATATTTTAAAAGCCAACAATTCACAAATAGGTCAAACGCTCATTCAGTGAGAAGTGGGGAAAGTCAATAGAGGAAAATCATTTGTTGAGAAAGCAATCTTAATTCTGGCTCTTTTACAAAAAAAAATCCAAACCTCGCCACTATATAAATGTAGCACACACTTGTTACATAAACCAAGAAGAGGACAGAGAGAGGGAGGAAGAAGAGAGATCCACGTGTCTTGCACCCAGCCAGCGTTAATGTCTCCCTCTAGTTCCTTGCGGTCTCTTGTAAGTGTGACCGTCCCGAGAGCACATGTTGAGGTTCTCCTGTGTGCTGGCAGTGGAACGACGTCAGCGCAGCGTGCCAGCAGCCGCTCTGCGGGCACCCCTGCTGCTGGCTTGGGTATCACAGAGACAGTTTCTATGCTTTTGCATAAGGGAGCCTAAGACTTCAGAATTTAGGGTTTGGGGATACTTTTTGTTTTTCTGTGTTTGGTCTTTTTCTTCATTTCTGTCTTAGGATGGAGGCCTGGGGCCACGTGAGGTGCTGAGGGCCCTCACGCTGTTGTCAGTCGCCATCTGGTCGGCTCTGCCCAGCAGCAATGTCTGAGGACCTATGTTCAGGGCCGGCCTTTGCTGCCATCATCCCCTCTGGAGCACAGCTCCCATGCAGATGCTGGTTTTCACATTGCTCCCAGCTGTGTGCATCTAAGTGACAGTTGGTCTGTGGTCCTCTGGTCCCAGGGGAATTTAGGGCCCCCCCCCAACACTTCTTGTCAAAGCTGAAGTCTCCTTTCTGATGCGCCCAGTACTGGAGCCTGTTCCCGCACGCTACTGCCTGGCCCGTCCTGGCCATGGGGCCTTGGCCTTGTTTCTTAATGAAGCCCATCTGATCAAAACGAAGCCATGAGAAGAAATTGGGTCAGAGAGCCCCGTGGAGTCTGCGGAGGGAGCCGCGTGAAGTGCCACGTGTCAGTAGCGGGGCTGGCTGGGCTGGCTTGTCACTGGTTGTGGATGACACAGCCTGTCATACAAGGCCCTTCAGCATCTCAGGGTCCCCCCATGGGCCTGCAATCCCAGTCGAGGTGGGTGGCCCTCCCCTCTTGGGAGGGACTGCTGGGGCCAGCGCGACAGCCACCGGACTGAGCGTCCCGCCCTCAGCGTGGTGATGCCACGTGGGAGAAGCCTGGTGTCGTCTGAAGCCCGCTCTGGCCTCACCTGTACTTTCAGAGGGGCTTGGGCATTGGGTCCGGGGTCACCCCAGGGTGCTGGCAGGTGTTCCCCGAGGTTCTGTTGTGGGTCTGAGTGCCCAGCCCCTGGCTTGCTCTCTCTCCAGGGGTGCTCTCGCCTCAGCTTTCTCAATCAGGATGTTTGACTGAGTGCCCAGGATGGCCTCCCTGAGGTTCCTGGGAAAACTTTTTTGTATTAAAGACAGCAAGGATTCAAGTGCAGAATTCACATGGCCTTTTCAGCTAAGCCGTGAACTGCCTAGGCTCTGCTTCCATTTCCTGCGTGGGGTGTTGGTGCGGGGGACGCAGGCTTCCGAGGGCCGGGCCAAATGTGCACCCACTCTCCAGGGCTTTGGCTCTGTGCTTCCCTGTCTCTGTGGCCAGGGCACGTGGCTTCCACTGCCTTGGAATTTGTGCCCCCCTCCTGCCCCTGACAGGCCATGAGCCCAGCCCTGTCGCCCCAAGGAAGAGACATTGACCCCTAGAGCCAGAAGGGCCCCTGGCATCATCTTGGCTGAATATCTCATTTGACAGGTGGGGAAACTGAGGCCTGGATCGAAGGAGTGATGCACCTTGGAGTAGCTGATCATGAGTCTGGGCCCTGAGGGGTTTGGATTTCCATGCTTCCATCACACCTTGGCTCTGTGCCCCCATCTGTGGTGCCAGGGGCCATGCATGAGCCTGGCCTGGAGGAGCCCATGGCTGGTGTTGGGAGTGCCCCACGGGCGCAGTGTGCTCTGAGCTGAGAGGCCAGGCCTGGGGTAGGACTTCCTTCAGTGACTTGACCATGGGGTTTTTGAGTGGAAAAACTGCTCCTGTGGGGCTGGAGCCTCAGAAAGGGAGAGCAGCGTGACCTGCACATGCCTCCCCAGCCCTGCCCTCCTCGGCGTCAGCCTAGTGTCTGGAGGCCCATCCCCAGCTCTCCAGTGCCTTGTCTGGGCTCCCGTCCATGTTCCCTCTGCTCTGGGCAGCGGCCCTCTCACCTGGCCCCTTGTCTCCTTCTCTGTCCCATCCCCTGTCCCTCCAGGCTTCGAAGGCCGGGTCACATCTCTGTGTCTTGTGCTCTCAGCACACTGTTGGCTGAGTACTCTTCCTCTTCCTCTCCCCTGGGTCCCAGTGCTGAGCGAGATGCCTAGCCCTAGATGCCTTGGCCCATGTGACGAGGAAGGCTCCCTGGGGTGTCCTGAGGGTGGAGATGAGCCCTAGCTGAATCTGATCTTTCCTTGAAGACCTTCTGCCAGCTGTCTGCCGAGGTAGCAGTGCACCGACGCATAATTCCTGGGCTTGGTGACAGGCAGATGTCACGCTTGTGCTCTTCTCTCATGGGAGGGGGGACAGAGAAGAGCCTCTGGATTCCAGGTTGTGGCAGCCCCACCCCTTTCTTCCCAGATCTCAGCCCTTTTTAGGAAATGGGGGCCGTTTTCACCATCACAGCCGCTGAAGCACCATTCTTCTGGAAGCTGATCCTTGCTTGGGGAACAGTAGGGGTCTCCAGGAGTTGGGAGAAAAGGCTAAGGGAGCCAGGCCGGGGGGCAGGGGCCCATGGGATAGGGTCTGATCAGTGCTTCCTTCAGTGGATAGGACATGAGGATGAAGTTGGGGGTTCGTGTGTGGTTGGGTGCTGCCCTTGGGCACAGAAGGCCCATGGTGGGACCTGGCGGTGACCTTTCGAGGCCGGGGACTGGGCCGAGTGCCTGTGGTCTCCGGGAGAGAGAAGGGGTGCAGAGGCTCTGGGATGAGTGGGGCCTGCCAACCAGTGAATGCAGCTCTGGGTCCCAGCACCCCTCATTGATTTCATCTAAGAGTAGGCTTTCATGGCTTTATGGGCTACAGAGGGAAGCCCTTGAAACCACCAAGTTCTGCTACACAAAATGCCAGAATGTGATGCCTGTGAATGAGAAATAGGGCCCTAACACAGCATGTTGCTTCATGGTTGAGACACCTCCTGCCTCCCTGTGGGTGTGAGCTCTGGTGCCTGTGGGCACACCACCTCCCCTGGCAAGATGCCTTACACTGTGCTCCTGGGGCCTCAGCCGGCCAGCTGCTCCCACATCTCCATGGCCCTTGCCTGCTGAGGACCTCACCTGTGTCCCGGGTGGCGCCCTCTGGACAGGGAGGCCACATCGACTCTCCTACTGATTTACAGTCACCTTCTTGTCTCAGAGCCAAGGCCTTGGCACCTGCTGCCCTCCTGGAGCCGTTGATCAGGTACCAGGCACCTCTGCCTGGGGAGGGCAGGTGGGCTGGTATGGAGGGAAGAGCTGTTTGGTCCTCAGCATCATGGTAGCCCCACTGGAAGGCAGTGTGGGCCAGCAGACCCAGACAGGCGTGCAATGGATGCCAGGGCTCTGTCGCTTCCATGCAGACAGCGGTGGCTCTTGCCTTTCGCCAAAGACCCTCCCACACCCGTGCACTCTGTGGGCTTCCACAGGGCTCCACTCTGGCGGGTTCTTTGTGTGAGGACTGTGGCCACCTCCCTGGCTACAGCTTCAGTGGCCACTGAGCTGACTTTGAAGCCCATGGGCTGTGAGAATCCCTGACACTCAGAAAGGGCCTGGTCCCTGGGGGAGGAGCTGGGGCCAGCCGAAGTACAGAAGGGTACCTTCTGAGGGTCTGTTTGTAGATAGCTCAGACTCCAGGAACTGCCACCCACGAGGCCTCCTTGGAGATCTACAATCACTGGGAAGCTCTGGGGTCACCTTGCCCCGGAAAACAAGGCTCTACTCTATGGGCTTCTGACCTCCAGCCCTGCACATTGGCCCAGGAGGAGCCCTGAAATGAGCAAGGGAGGCCTGGGCTGCAGTATCCTTCAGATCCTGACCCTTTGGGGTTCAGCCCTGCCTTTAGAACATCCTGTGAGGGAGAGCGCATTAGGTCACTCTTGGTGGGTGGTTCCTAAAATGACAAAAGGACAAACTTTCAGGAATTTTGGAGCTGTGAAGAAAGGGGCCTCATACACAGTCCCCTTGCCTCAGAGTACATGAAGAGAGACCACGTGGACACTACAGAGCTCAAATTTGGCTTCACATGCACTGGCGACAGATGAGGGTCAGCGCCGCGAACACTGATCGGGTCCGGTTGTGGGTTAGACGCAAACTGCCCGCGTCTCTCCAGCATGTGGCCTGGCTGTGGGGATGGCGTTTTCTCGTTGAGAATTCACTGTGGTGTGTTGTCTTTGTAGGATGAAACAGGTGCCTATTTAATCGACAGAGACCCCACCTACTTCGGGCCTGTGCTGAACTACCTGAGACACGGGAAGTTGGTCATTAACAAAGACCTCGCAGAGGAAGGTGAGTCGCTGGCAGGGCTGCCCATTGGTCCACTTAGACTTGGCCCCTCCAAGCCCAAGTCACCCTGCAAAGTGTGTCCCAGAGCCCCTGCCCTCCTGCAAGTGCCAGAGTCTCCTCACTTGCTCCCCCACGTCCTCACAAATGTGTCCCACGAGGCAACAGACACTTGTCTCAAAGGCCAAAGGGCTGCTTGATGCTGACCGTTCCCCTTTTCTTCCTCCAGGGAGCGAAGACAATCCAGCGCGGGTCGGGGCTGGCTGGGGACTGCATCCCCTCTCCTGCCTTAAAGAGTCTAGTCTGTGGTGCCTCGGAGGCTCGGGCTCCTGCCCCTGAGAGGCACTCATTCTTCTGGTTGCCTTGGTTAACAGCCCTTGGGCCTGTACCTTCTTTGCTTCTGGGGGATTCTTGTGTCCCCCCCGACCCCAGTTCTGCCTGCCTTCGCAGATGCCCTGCTGTGTTCCCCTCTGGTCATGTGGAGTGGGATGCTGGTTCAGGTTAGGGCATTGGCCCAGCTTGGAGTCTTGGGGTCCTGAGAGCCCAGGGCTCTTTCATTCTCCTGTGCTTGTGGTCCCGGGATGACTGCCTGTATGGAGCTGTGCCCTCTCCCTCCTTCAGCTCTAGCTCATCTTACTCTGCTTCTCTTCTCGGCCTCCGACTGTGTGTGTCTTTGGTAGTATCTTTTTCATGTGTGCACACTGACATGTCTTCTCTGCATGCAGCTGTGCCATTCTAGGCTAAACTTCATTTTGCAGCCTGTTCCCAACATGATTTGTTTAGGAAGGGTACTTGCCGGGGATCAGGCCTTGCCACCTGGCCTCGCTCACCTGCCTTCAGGGGAAACGCCCATACATGTGCCCTTTCCACCTGCCCCTCTGAGCACAGCCCTTGGAGTGTCCAGACCGAGGGAGGCCGTGCCTTTCAGGCCCAAGCGCTTATCCTATGGTTTCCAGTGCTTATTTACACCCCACCATCCCCACCTGTGGATCAAAGGGGAAGGGTTGATAGGATGTCTCCACATGTCATCCTAAGAAGTGACATTCTTGGTGCACCTCCTTTGGGACCCTGAGAAAGGTGTCTGCCTGGGCAGCTGCTGTCCCCACCCTCTGCTTTGTCGAGTCGCTAGGGAACTCGTTGGCCTCCAGCTCGAGCTGGTCAGATGGCCAGGGTCCACATCTCTGAGCCTCTGGTGCTGCCAGCACAGGGACCCTGCTGTGCAGAGCAAGGCCTGGTCAGGACAACTGGGCACGGCACCAGGAGGCATTCACCAAACCTGGAATACCCACAAGGAGCCCCAAGCAGAGCCCCTTCGATTCATTCTTCAGAGTGTCCTAGAGGTCCAGAGCCCCTCAAGAGGGAATGTTGCTGACGGCAGTCTTTGGGAAAAGGGGGGTTCCCAAGTTGGCACAAGTCCTGCAGCTGGGAGCAGCGTCTCAACCAGCCGTATTCTACCTGAGTGACGTGGAGACCTGCACAAGGCCACCTGTTAGCCTAGGACAGACAGCTGCAGGTGTGGAGGGGAGAGGCCCAAGTGACATCCCGAGTGCACTGCGTGGGGACTGTGTGTGAACTCTGTACCCAGCAGGTCACGTGGAGGGACTCGGGCCAGGCATGCATCTGGCAGACATACCCTTTCCTCGACTGAGCCCTCTGTCCCCCATCCTGGGGCCCCGAGAGCCCGCAGGGCCTGCACAGAGTCTGTGGGAGGGTAGTACGGGGGCTGAGCGCTTCCAGGGGTCTGGGCCGAGCGGGGCGCCGGGGCCACTGCAGGCCAGCAGAGGCACAGCCATATTCTTTCATCTGGTGAAAACTGCAGTTATTTTTCTTTTTTCTAGGGGTACTGGAGGAAGCAGAGTTTTACAATATCACCTCACTAATAAAACTTGTAAAGGACAAAATTAGAGAGCGAGACAGCAAAACATCACAGGTGAGACCAGTGACTAATGTGCCAGAAGCTTCCTAGGCCTGGCGTGAAGGCACAGCTCGCTCCCCTCCCTCCTCCCTGGAGTTGCCCTGGCGCCCGTGGCCCGCCCTCTAGCTGCCTCCTGCGGTGCTGCCAGCTGATGCCCACTCCAGGGGGCGAGAGGTCCCATGGGGGTGAAGAGGGGCAGGAGAGCAGGCGGCCTCCATGGGGCTTGAGTGCGTGGCCGCCTCGGGAAGAGATTGCAGGCAGGGCAGCATGAGTGCAAAAGCCCTGTGGCAGCCATATGCTCAAGCTGTTCCAAGGGCCCACGTGGCCCAGGGAGAGCATGGGGGAGCCGGTAGTGACAGTGGAGGTAGGGTTCTGCAGGTGTGTGGACTTGGCCTTTGCTTGGAAAGAAGGGCTCAGCCAGTGCCCTTTGTGCTGAACAGTGTTCCCTGCGGGCAGATCCCTATACGGGACCCATTCACACTTGGCCACAGTGAGCAGTGCTGGAGCCAGCACGGCCACTCTGCTGCCCACCAAGCCAGTGTTGTCACAGAAGGTGTGTCTAGCACCATCCATGAAGGGAGGCACCAGAGGGTCTAAGGCATTAGTTTTTGCTGTGGCACCAGCTCAGTGCTACGGAGCAGAGCGCCAGACCCTTGCCCAGTGAGTTACCTCCGCCAGGAAGATGCTGCAGAGCGCTTGTTCCCTCAGAGCTGCTATCACTACCTGAAGAGTCTCCACTGAGAATCCTTCCACTGCCACTCCCCGCTCCCTATGGACTTTCCCACTGGGCACCTGCAGGCCCTGAGCTCCACCTCTTGGCTTTTGTGAAGAGACTCGCTGACCACCTGGCCACTCAGAGTGGCTGGTCAAGGGTCTGGGGAGGGGCACAGTGCAGTGACTGCAGTGGGAGGCTGGGGCCCCCCACCATGCAGCCCCCAGCTTTCTCTTTGCTGCAGGAGCTCCTGGCGTGCCAGGACAGTGGGAGGGGACAGTGGGAAGGGACAGAGGAGGGACAGATGTGTCCACAGTCTCCCTGATCATTTCTGGCCAGTTTGCCGCCTCCTTCCTCTCTGCCCAGCTGCCCTGATTATGAACCATGTGACCTGGGCCCATAGCAAACCTCTTTGATTGTCTCCCCCTCCACATGGTAGAGGTGACGATTCCCCCACCCAGGGGACTAGCAGGTCAGATTAGGTCTCACAGTGTCATTCATTATCACAAATGACAGCACCTGGGCTGCGTGATGATGGCCAGGGTTCTAAGAGCTATGGCCTTGTCACTAGCGTGCTGTGTCGGGCTGCCACCTGTAGCGGGAGTGGCAGCTGTGTCAGGGTGGATCTACTGCTGGTGGCTCCCCGAGACCACGTTTGGAATGTCGCTCAGCGGAGGGTGAGCAGATCAGAAGATCTTCGGGCTCATATCTGAGCTGCTGTGCGTGTCTGAGAGCTTTTTCTAAGAGCAGGGCTGAGGCTGGCCCTGCCTGGCTCTTGAGGCCCTCCCTTAATTCAGACACTTGGTGTGATTCCCCTAAGGCATGAAAATGGGTGTCCTCATGTGTTTACATCTAGCCACAGGTGCTTCTGGGATTTCAGGGACATGACTCATTTTATTTTGGAATTTAGAAATGGAAATATTTTTAGAGGCGGACGGGGAAGCAGAATACGGCAGCTGTTCCAGTGTGTTTGTTTTGCTTTGGTGGATGCGCTTGGGGTTCCTTTGGGCATCATGACGTGAGCCCGAGAGGTGGAAGGAGACGTCTGCCTGCCTGGGTCCCCTGCCAGGCAGTCCCAGGGTTAGCACAGGGGGCAGGGTGGCCAGGCGGGGCAAGTGGCCCTCTCACCCGTGGCCGTCATTCTCGCAGGTGCCAGTGAAGCACGTGTACCGCGTGCTACAGTGTCAGGAAGAGGAGCTCACGCAGATGGTGTCCACCATGTCTGACGGCTGGAAGTTTGAGCAGGTAAAGGGCCCCCTGGGTGATGGGAGCTGGCAGTGCGGTGGAACTTTTAATAATAAAGGCCCTACAGGGTCCCCAGGGCGGCTGGCCCCAGGGACTGGTAATGAGACATTGGGCGGCCTGCGGTTCCTGGGAACACGGGCCCCTGTCACTGTCGTCCTAGGTATATCTCATGAACAGTGCCTGTGCCCGGTCCTAATTGAATTGGTCACAGGCGCTTGGGTGGGGCAGGGGGGAGTTGTTCTTAGGGTCCCCCACTCCCGCTTCCTCCCCAGTCTTCTCTCTGCAGTTATTCTTATTCTAGCCCATTCTTCTGGGGTGGAGGGGTGTTCTCTGCTGTTCTGTAGCATCTCTGTGTGTGTGGGATTGACATCCTGAGTGCCTCCTAGCCTGGCCCCACCTCCATGTCCCCTCCCGTGTCTGCCCAGCCCCTCCTGGCCCCTTCCATGTTGGCTGAGCAGATGGCAGCTCCTGGCACCTCTGTGCTGCCGTTGGCACAGATGCCCTTTCTGGTGGGGCTGCTCTGTGGCTCCGCAGCGCCCGTCCTGCCCTTGATCGGAAAGATGCTGCAGGTTCTGGCCAGCTGTGCCCTTTACTTTCCTCAGCTCTACTTTTGCTGGGGCTGATGTGACAATCTGTGTATACCGAGTCCTTTTGCCTCCCTCTGTCCCTCCCTCCATGGGCTCTGGTGTTTGTTTCCACGTGCGCGCTGGCTCTCGTCCTTCGGAACTGCCATCCGTTACCTGTGGACCTTGGAACATGGCAGGGATGTCCTCGGAGTGGGCAGGACCTTCCCCTTGAGCTCATTGTCATTTTTCCTCTTTCTCAGGCAGAGACTCTGAGGTTCGGGCTATGACCTGCCCAGGCCCTAGCCCCCTGCGCTGGTCGGGAAGGGTAGAGAGCAGGTGTGGGGCCCTACCCCCAGGTAGCAGCCACCCTGCTCGCCAGGCCCCCTCTGGCTCCTGAGAGTCTCCTCTGTTGCCAGCTTCTGTCTGGGGCAGGTTCTGTCCACAGCAGGAAATTAAGGGATCACCCTGACCTCCCTTGTAATTAAGGCTACCTCTTTTTTGGATTCTTTTGATTAATGAGTCATGTTGTAGAATGCCTAGAGTCCCCGTAAAATGTCATGAAAGAGAGGTGTAGTCAGCATTTGTGTCCCACCCTGCAGTGGGGGGGGCGCAGCCACCAGGAGTCCAGGGAGGCTCCTGTGGTTGCATTTGCATTCCTCACACTCTGACCCCGTCACAGTCACGCCAGGCTCATGCAGGGACAGAAATTACCCACCACCCCTAGGTGGGGAGCCTGGCATAACCTGAGTGGCAGTCGCCAGTTTAGGATCTGTGAACTAGGTCACCCTTTGTCAGAGTTAAGCCCCGTTTGGCTCTCCAGCTAGAAGGGAGAAAGGTTCCCCTGCCTCCTGCCTGGGTGTCTCCCTCCCCCTGACCAACCTGGGGACTTGATCCTGAGCTCCTCTGGGTGGATTCCAACTCCACCGCAGAGATGGTTCCTCTCTTCCCCCGAGTCTCACCTGTTTTGCCCATTTCCTCCCTCGGGGACATCCTCCTCCAGGTTTATGCCAGTGCAGCCCCAGAACCAGAAGCATGTTAGTTCACTTGTCTGCCTCCCAGAAGCAGGGGCTGGAACTGCGGCAGGGGAAGTGGGGCTGGCACCCGGGACCCTGTGACGTGGCGATTGCGAACCCAGGCTGCCCAGTGATCAGTGACAAGGCCAGAGCGAGGCTCCCAGCGGGTTCTGGAGGGGCTTGCGTGCCTCGTGAAGACATGGTCTCTGGGCAGACCTGAGCACCCCTCTCGCTTGGCTGTACTCACTGCGTCCCCCTCCCTGACCTCTCCTGGGCAGATTCATCAGCAGAGAAGCTGAAGGTCGAAGGGCCTTCCAGGAGTTGGCTTAATAATCAGCACTGGTAGCTTCGCTATAATTGTAGTGGTTTTCTTTTGAGTAATTTTGCATTTAAAATCACAAAGCCCTTGGTGGCTCTGGGATGGGCTGGAGCAAGTGGGCCGGCCCTTGACTCCTGTGTGGCTGTGGTGGTGACCTAGAAGCCCATGAGGATGCAGGGCTGTGGGCATGTCTGCCATGGGCCCATATAGACCGAGACTGTGGCTGAGGCCCATGGAGCCATGGCCCAACCTCTGTCTTGGAGATTCGGGCAGCTGGACTTTTGGCTCCTCCTGAGCCTGTGAGAACCAGCACGGCCCCCTGCCGACCTCCCCTCCCACCACTGGTGTCTGCCTTTCTCGGTCAGTAGCCCCAGGGTGAGGAAGGGTCAGTCCTGGCTTCCCTGGGGAGGAGTTCGCCCTCACGTGCGTGAGTGTGTAAGGAGGGAGCAGAGGGCCACCATCCCACTGCCTGCCCACCCCCCCCCACACTCCAGCACTGTGCTCCCCTCACTGGGTCCCTCGGCATCCCCATGGGCCCAGCCAGAAACCCAGGGAAGAGCTGGCCATCCCACATGTTTTATGTGTGTGGTGGCATGTTTGTGCAGGTGCCTGTGTGCCTGAGTATGGTGGTTTGAGGACTTGATTTTCCATAAGTTCATTAAAAATCTCTTGGCTGAACCCTGTCCCTTGGTTTCCCTGAGTGTTGGCCATCCTTGCCGTGGGTCTTTGCAGGCTGTTTCCCTCCTGGTGGGCGGGCTGAGCCAGGTGCACATGTGGCTCTCTGCCCACATCCCTCTGGCCTTCTCTCCTCCCAGCTGGTCAGCATCGGCTCCTCCTACAACTACGGGAGTGAGGACCAGGCTGAGTTCCTCTGCGTGGTCTCCAAGGAACTGCACAACTCCTCATATGGCACGACCAGTGAGCCCAGTGAGAAGGCCAAGGTGGGTGATGCTGCGGCCCGCGGCCCGCAGTGGGTGCAGGTAAAGTCGGGGATGCCCGCAGCAGGGCTGAGTTTCTCTCCTTGAAGCTATGTCATTTCTTACTATCCTTGTTGGTTCTTCTGGCCACACCGGCTTCCTAGTGGCATGCTCAGCCTCGCACTTCTTGTCCGTCGTCACGTAATTCTCACCTGATGTATCAGAAGCAGAGTCCTGGGATGAAGGACACGTCCATCCACAGGACACGGGTGGTGGAGCGAGCGGTCTTTGGGCACAGGCTCCCTGCAGGGTGAGCCCCTGTGGCTTCCACAGCCCCGGCCCTCCTCCCACCTCTCTTCTAACCAGCAGGGTTGTTCCTGGAAGTGTTGTCTTCCAAACCTACCAGTAGGGGCTACACTTTTAAGTTTAAGCCACTGTGGGCTATTTTTCTGGGGACTTGGGATGTCAAAGCTGGGGGGCAGGACCTCCTGAGCTGCACCTGTCTTGGATACATCCATCCCAGGCTGGGAAGTCATGCTGCTTTGTAAACAGAGCAAGTCCTGCAGATTTTGTGATTTTTAGACTCCATGGAGTGTTGCCTTGCCCAGCACTGGCCGGTTCCTGTTGAACTGCGCTGGCTCCCTGCTGAATGTCTGACTCTTCTGTCTCCCAAGGAGCCAGGGTGAACATGGCCAGCCCTGTAGTAGGGAGCAGCTGCTGGCCTTGCCTGGAGGCTACAGCTTCTACTGGCATCTTGTCTGGGCTCATTCCTGAGGCTGGGGCCTCCAGCTATGTCTGTTCTTGTGGAGTCCAGCATCCATCGGCCTGGGCAGGACTCCTGGACCTTTGAGCCAGGTGGTGCCTGAATGGTTCCGCAGCCAGCTCTGAAGGGATCCAGGGGATCTGTGGTGGCCAGGCTCGGTGGCCCTGGTGGAAAGCTCAGGTGTGCTGTCAAGGGGTGCTAGGAGTGGGTGTGGGAAAGGCTGGAGACAGGAGGGTTTTAACTGATGACATTAAGCCAGGGACTCCCAAATGCTTCTCAGGCTCTTGGCCAGATGTCACCCTGGCCCCTGCCTGCCTAGAGCTGCCCTGTGAGCCTTTCAGGGTCTTCCTGGGAGGTGTGGGCTTGGCAATGGATGGCAGATTGCCACGCCTGTGGCCGTCCTCCACCGGGCTCGTGGCAGCCTTTTCACTCCAGCATGACTAGGGCCCTGGGGCCTCCAGAGTCCTCCCACCACTCCCTCCACCCCCCACCCCCTGGCCTGCGTGGGCGCCTGTGGCTGTGTGTGCTGGGTCCAGGCTGTTCCGTTGCCTCTCAGGACAGGATGTCACGGGGTCAGCGTGGGTCTCCGTGGTCCACTGGGAACAGAGGGGCCCCAGTGCCTCACCTAGGGATGTGCTTCTTGTTGAGTTGGGGTAGGAGACGACTGTACCTCCTGGGAGCCCCCAGCCTCACAAGGAGCCATCTCTCTCTGAGCGTTTGCAGGGCTTTGTTGTACATTGTCTATTTTTAGAAGCTTTTATTTCTGAACTTGAAAAATTCTCATAGGCGAGCTCACCAGGGCAGCCGCCCGAGCTCATTTCCGTCAGGTGGCTTTTCAGCTGCAGAAAGGATGCGTCTGCTGAGGGAGCTCCAGGCGTGACCCCAAATCCCTTTGCCATTGAAAACAAGGCCCTATTTCTCTCTCCAAAAATACCTGGCTCTGAAGTGTGGCGGCCACAGTGGCTTCTAAGTTGGGGCAGTGGCAGGAGCTGTCATGGAAGTGGATCATAGCCGGAGCCTCCAGAGAGCCATGGAAAACTGTCACGGCCAGATTGGCAGTCGTAATTTAGGGACCCCTATGCACAATCTTGTTAGGGCAGCATTCCGTGTTCTGGGGGCAGTGAGGGTCACCACTGTGGACCTGCTCACTGGGTGCCCGAGGCATGGGCCAGCCACCCTTTGTCAAGGTGAAAATAACAGGAAAGAATGGATGAGGGTGGTGGGGCAACTCTGTGAGGGGACCAGTCCACCCAGGAATGGCTGCCATCAACCCCAAATTCAGGGCCTTCCCAAACCATTCTCCGATTCCATGATCTGTTGGGAGGAGTCAACCCACTGAGTGCGGTTCTGCTCATGGTTACAGTTTATCACAGGAAGCACAGAGGGGTAGGGCTCAGACCTGCCAGGGGAGGGTGTGTCGGATGGAGGCCAGGAAGTGTGCCTGACATGGAGCTTGCGTCACAAAGGTGCTGCTCGTGGAGTCAGGGCTTGTGGCGATGTGCACGGAGCATTGCCCACCACGGATGCTCCCCCAGCCTCTGTGTCCAAAGGTTTTACTGGGCTCGGGCACGTAGGCATGATTATTGATCAGTGATAGAACACCCATGTGCCTGATCACAGTCTCCAGGCCCCTGGCCAGCTGACCCCACCCTCCATCACACGGTCAGACTGTCTGGTGTGGACTGGAGGTCATGGCCTCCCCAGAGCTGAGGGCAAAAGCCAGACCTGTGTTTGGGCAAGGTTTAGTTCTTCAGGACACAGAGGGAAGAAAACTCTGGAACTTTGGGAATGCCAAGGCCCAGGGTTGACGGGGCTAGTGAGACACTGAGCCTGTACCTTCCTCGTGGTGTGATCTGGATGAGGCTGGCCTGTGCCTCGTCACACACACAGCTGCGGCCCCTGGCCCTAAGCACCTGTGCTCTCCACTGCCTCCTCGTGGCCTGTCTGGGTGGGCTTCCCTCCGTGGCCTCCTGCCTCACCCTGCACTGACGGTGCCCTCTCTTCTTCTCCTCCCTGCCGCCTGCTGCATGCCGAGCCAGAGTGACGATGAGGACACGGGTCACGATGGGGATGACTCAGATTAAGTGTAAATGTCATGGTGAGCCTGCTGCCCTGGAAACTGACCTGGTACCTTAGCTTCTTTGACCCCAGCCCCTCCTCCACTGCATCCATCTCATGCCTGTAGTTGACAGAGAACCTTCCACAGTAGATGCCAACTGTGTAGATCTGCAGTGGAGCCAGTCTGTCTAGTGGCACGGCTGTCTGTCCCCCAAGGATGCCCATGTGGGTGGGGTTGGGACTGTGGCTGGGGGCCTGAGCACTGTGTGTGTCAGACTTAGGAAAGGCCCCCTTCCCATGGATGTTAGCAAGGACATGGGCCTGCACCTCCTGGGGACAGGCAGCCCCCAGCCTGCCAGTGTTCCCATCTTGTTGCCAGGCCACCCATGGGCTCAGGGCTGTGGAATCAGGGCTTATGCCACAGAGGGTGGGCCGTGATCCTGACGCCAAGCCCACGACACCCCTGCTCCCCTATGCCACAGGCGAGGAATGCTGGTGGAGAGGAGTCTGTGTGGACTCTCCTGTTGGCCCCATGGTAGAGACTCCATGATGCCTTCTCGGCCCCCAGCTGCTCCCCAAGTCCCTGCTGCTTCCTAGGTTCTCTGTCATCAGAGGGCGTCTGGTCTGCTCCCTTGACTGGTGCAGGGGAGGTCGAGGCCCAGAGAGCAGGGAGCTTCCCTGCTGAGCCCGGCAGGTGGGGACCTTCAGCCTCCTCCTGGGAGGAGTTCGGGAAAAGCCTGCGGCCAGCCAAGCACGGAACGCCAACAACCAGCCATGAGAGGTCTAGTCTAGGGGTCACAGACTAAGAACAGCTTTTATGTTTTTAATGTTATTTTTCTGGTGATTATGTAAGTACATAACAGTTTTGCTGTTTGACCCAGAAATCCTTAAATATTTACTATCTGGTCCTTTAAGAAAAAGCTTGCTGGCCCCTGATCTGGACTGGCACTGACCAGGGGGCGTGCAGCACGCCCTCCATCTGTGCTTTTAAACTTCCTGGTAGCCACGTTAAGGAAGTAAAAGGAAATGTGAAACTTATGCTAATATTATTACCTAGTAAGCTCATAATATTGTCATTTGAGCCAGAAAATCACTGAAGTGTTTTACTTGCCTCTTCTCAAAGTCTCTGAAATCAGGCATGTAGTTGGCATTTGTGGCCCATTTCGGTTTGGAGTGGCTGCACCTTAGGGGTTCAGCTTGACTTTGGCCTGGGCCGATGGTGAACCATGATGGGAACTCGAGACTGGGGGAATGTGGGGGGCGGGCAGGAGCCCTCGTGAGCATGGAGGAGTCATGCCTGCTGGCAGCTGCTGGGCCAGCCTCCAGGAGGAAGGAGGGGCCTCTTTCAACACGACTTCCCCCCAGCCTAGTTACAGACTTTGCATCTGCTTACAGGAGCTTCTTCGGTGGCCCTAACGCAGGGGTCTGGACTGTGGGAGGGGCGAGCATGGGCTGGTCACCAGGGCAGCCTTGGAGTGGGCCCTGGGGCCTGGGTGTCGCAGGGTGAAGTGATGCCACTCCGCCTAGGCCCACCACGGGGGTGCTGCACACTGTGCTCATCCCACCCAGTCCCTGCGGCCCGACTCAGACCTTGTGGGCAGTGGCCCAGGTGAGAGTCTGACCAGGACAGACAGGGCCGTGACTGTCACAGATCCTCCTTAGGAGACAGTTGTTGGGGCTCCGGCTCTGGTGGGGTGGCTCCTCCTGTGTTGTCAGCTCGCTTCCAGGCCACGTGATGGTTACATGGGCCTCATCGCTTCCACCACTTCATCCCGTGAACTCAGATGCTCCCTCTGCTCTGCTGGGCCCCCACAGAGTGAGCAGCTCTCTGTTCCCGGGCCCCCACAGACTCCAGCTTTCCCAGCAAACAACCAAGATGACAGGGCGGCAGACCCTTGTGGGACTAGTGCCTTGGGGGCCAGAGGGACATTGTGGGCTGAGCAGGGACATAGCTTCACCCACCCCAATGTACGACCTCTGACTCTGTCCCTCTGGCAAGGTCTTCCCGGGCTTTCCCAGTGAGAAGGCAGGCCCTGCTGAACTTACGGGCTTGGGGAGCCGTCAGAGACACAGTGGGCACAGCCTAGGGACAGCAGGGCTGTGGCGTGCATCAGGATGGGCTGCAGCATCTCCGCGGAACCTGCGCTTCTCTTGAGTCATTCAGAACAAGCCCTCAGGAAACGTGAGTGACTGGCTGCATGGCTCTGGCCAGCCATCCTGGCTGGTGAGCAGGAGGTCAGGGTTGCCTAGGTGCTTGAGAACCTGAGAACTTTACCTGCTGCCCGCCAGGCCCTCCTGGGCATGTCCCCGTATTGTGCCAGGGCTCAGTGACACACAGTGTCCTCAGGGCTGTATCTCTCTCAGCCAGAAATTCAAGTGGAAAATGCCCCCGGGAGGCCATTCTTGAGCTGCCGATGGGATTGCAGGGAGGGTCATCTTTCAGCGCCAGCCTGGGCGTGGTCGGGCCAGGCTGGGACTTGTGTGGCTTTTTGATCCTGATCACCTGGTGCTTAGCAGCCGCACTTGACATACCGAGACAGCACACTTTGCCAGCTCTAAATTGACCCCTGGCTCATGTGGGCTTCTACCTCCAGCTGGCTCCAGGCCTTGAGGAGCTGCCAGCCTGATTTGGGGGAAGATGGGAGGCACAGATAATTCTAGTGGTGAGGGAGATGGGGATACTGCTCAGGCTCTGAGACGCTGAGGAGGCGTGGGAGTGAGAGGGTCAAGGATGGTGGTTGAGGGGTAGCAGGCTCCACAGGGATGGCATAGTCCCCCAGTGGGGTCAGGTTTGTGGCCTATAGAGTCCTGTCTGGCTATAGTGAGGAGGGGGCTGACTCCCTTGAGGTGGGTGGTCCAGGTACAGTTACGACCCCAGCCAGGCAGGCAGTGTGCAGAACGAGTTGGCAGGTATGGTTGTGGGGGTGACAGGGCAGGCCCAGAGTCCCAGGTGTCTGGGTTGTTGACCAGGTGCAGGGTGGAGGGGACATGGTTTGCAGTGGAGGGTGGAAGAAAGAAGAGGGGTAGGTTGGGGTGGGTCCCTGGGGACCCTGGTCATACATATGTGTGTTCGGCTCAGAATCCAGCTGGGCTGGAGAGAACGTCAGGAGTCAGTGCCTGTCAGATGGGCAGCTAAACCCCAGGTGGGCTTTGGCACCTTCAGGAACTGAGAGCCTCTCACCCTCAGGAGACCATCGGGAGAGATGCCGCGGGTCCTGGGGCTATGCCCATGAGTCTCAGGAGGCATGGGGGGGACAGGCCCCCTGCGGCCTTCCAGGCATGATTGCTTGGTGGTTTCTCACAGCCTCCACAGTTCACCACTTTCCAAGTCCTTCTGACGTCAGGCTAGGATGGAGGGTGGGGAGAGCTGGGGGGCCTGCCCTGTGTGGGGCCTGAAGGTGGGCGGAGCCAGGCCTGCACAGTGATGTCTCTGCCTGCAGCTGGCCTGGGCCACACCTGCTCTTGGACCCTGGCCCGTGGTGGGCTCCACCCAACTCAGGGCCACCAAGTTCCCAGCTGGCTGCCGGCTGCCTTTTCAGTCAAGGCCCTAGTCCTCACTGTCTGCATTTGGCATTTTCAGATTTTGCAAGAACGAGGTTCAAGGATGTGAGGATCACAGTGTTGACAGCTGAGGAAACGTACCTTTTCCTGAGAAGCAATGATCCGCTGTGTCGAGGAAGCTCGGCCGTGAGAAGAAACCTGCTTTTGACAATTTCTCTAGAGATCTGGGTGTGACTCCTTTTTTGCCTCTGAGGTGGGTGGTGAGAGACGGGACCAGCTGTCTGAGGACAGGCGTCCCCACTCAAAGGTGGCACGCTGCCCCAGTGGGCGTCTCCATGGGGACCTCAGCTTGGCTTTCCCAAGTGCCACTCGGGCCTGAGGCAGGACGCTCCTGACTGACCCCTTTAATCACCGAAGATCATTTAAAGGACAGCGTTCTTGGTGCTACATAAACAGTCTGTAACGGAGCCCTGGCCTCGCTGGTAGTAAGTGGCCACAGTGCCGCAGCCCTGGGCTCTGGGTGTCTGCTAGTCGCCCTTGCACACACCAGGCCCTGGGCCCTGGGGCAGGGCGTCTGCTCTGCCTCCCAGATGTGATCGGTTGGGGCTTCTCCCAGCCTCCACGTGTTCACTACTTCCTGGGCCTCCTTTAGAGCTGGGCTTCCCTGGCCTGACTGGGCCTGGCACAGTCACAGCTTCTCCATTTGTAATTTTCGTGTGAGAAACCTTTGCATCCTTTCTTTCCCAATGTGGATAGACTACCCAATGCTTTTACTTCTTAGAAATGCCTAAAAGGGCTGCTGCCTTTTGGGCTGATCTGTTAAGTCATTTAAAGGGAGGTACAAGTTTTGCCTCATCCGACCCACCCGAGGGCTCGAGGGGAGCTGGCGCCCATCAGTGCCTTGGTCTCGCCTGGGATGGAGGTCGGGGTGGGAGGCCTGTCCACCTGGCTTCTGGAGCTGAAACTCCGGGTCATGTTGAAAATTGGATGTTTACAGCGCATCACAGACATCTCTCTCTTGCCGGCTCTCTCGTTCTCTTTGTATAACTATGCAGTTCTCTCTGACACTTCTGGGGTGTTTGGGACTTCACACGCAGCCCGCATGGGCTCTGCCCCCTGACATGATGTTGGAGCTACTAGGATTCCTTTGAAAACCACTGTCCGCATGCTTCGAGAACAGACCTGCCTCGGCCGGTCATGGGGACTGTCATTCTGGGGGATCTGGCTCGGTGGGCGGCTCTCTGCTTCCTGACCTTCGGCTCCCAGGGGAGCTGTGCGCACCAACCGCTGGGGCCACCCCGCCTCAGGCCGAGGCCCCAGCACATCAGGTTCAGATGCTTTTGGAGGCTTCTCGCCTGTGCCCTCTCCTTCTTTGCCAATATTACCTGATTAACCAAGTTCTCTAGCACCTAGGACTTACCTCCTCCTTTTTGTAAGGTCTGTTGTATCTTGTTAAATGTTTGGCTTCACCTGTTTATAGCAACCTTTCTATAGGGCACACTTAGCCCCTGGGGACCCGGCCTCCCCGAGGAGCCCACGGAGGTGGGCGGCCCTTCTTGGCCTCGGGGTGCACCTGTGGGGCGCTGCTGGCCGCTTAGCGTCGTTTGGTTTGTGACCTTGACATAATAGATAGGCTTGTGGGTTTTTTTAATTTAAAAATATTAAGACTTAATTCACTAAAATTTATTCTAAGGGGATATTTATACTTTTGTACTTTTTTAGGTATCCGTATTTTATCAGCTTACAGTTTAATGCCTAAGTTTCCCCTGAAAATAGCTAATAAAATTGTGTATTTATGAATGAGCATAATAACTGTTAGTGTCTGAAAATGCGTGGAAGAGCTGCAGCCGCAGAAGCACTGCCTTGGGCTCGTGGCAGCCCCGGGCTGTCCGCCCGTACACCCACTGTCCAGCCTGGGGCTGGCAGATTAGAGCAACACACTCCCATCTTCCCCCTCGGGCCCCTGGCCCCGGCCACCTCACCTCTCTTGCTGGTATCATGCCCCCATCCCTGGGGACAAGGAAATCATCTTCAAGTGCTTTTTTAAAAATTAATGATGCCCATGGAATTAAGTGTGTGCACCTGTCCTGTCTCTTCTCTGGCCAGAAGCACCAGCTTCAGGGAAATTTCTTTGAAATTCCTTGTCCACCCTGCTCCACCGTGGCCTCTCTGGCTCCCCCTGGTGGCTGCTCTTCAAAAGCTCCCAGGATGACCAGGCATTATGGGAATCCCCATTCCTGTGTTTACTGGGAGAGCGCTGGCTCCCTGAGGTTGGCTAAGGTATCTTTGACCCCAAGATGCTGGTGTCTCCTGCTACCCAAACTCCCAGCTTTTGGGGAGTGTCCATCCTGTTTCCAGGGCCAGTCTGACTGCCCAGGCTTGGGGGTGGGAACCCTTCTGCTGGGGCCAGGGAGGAGGGGCCTCTGGGGTGTTCACTGTATAGTTTGGGGCACATGGGGAGGGACTTCAAATTCTCCAAGGAGCTTGCTTTCTGAACAGACTAAACTTGGCATCTTCAGGTCCTTGAGGCCAACAGCAAACCTGGACTTGCTTCCAGGCCGCTCTGCTAGGGAGAGGCCCCAGAGCATCTCGGGTGTCCCAGCTGAGGTCGGGGCTTGACTGCTGACCGAGCAAAGGACTGGAGAGGAGACAGCCATCCAGCCTGGGTCCTGAGGTCCAAGGCCCTTTTGCTGGGTCCTCAGGGTTGGGACAGAGCCTGCCCCTTGGACCCCATGCTCCAGGCCCAGCATACCCGGTGTAGGAGGGCATGGGGAGGGACCTGGGGCACAGCACTCCTGGAAGCCTCAGTGTCGCCAGCCCTGTAGCTCCAGGAAGCCAGTGGGCAGGACAGAAGAGGGAGGTGGGCGCTTGGAGTGTGTAGACTCCCTGGGTGGGTCCCCAGCTGCTGGGCCTCCTGCAGAGCCTGTGCCCGGAACCTTCCAGGGCCAGGCATCTCCTTTACTCCCCTTGCCTTGCCCCTCCCCTCCCTTGCATTTCCTTGTGTCCACCCAGCAGGTGCTTCTTCTATCCTGGAGCTGGCGGTAGGGGCTGGCTGGTGCCCCACTGCCCGTCGGTCACTGAGTCCGGCTGAGGCAGTGAAGGGCTGAGCCTGCAGTGCAGCCATTTGTCCGTCCTGCAGAGCCTGTGTGTGCTGAGCCCCGGTGCCTCAGGGCCTGCGTGGCCAGCATTCATGAGCAGAGGCAGCTCCACTCTGGCACCTTTGGACCGAGCAGTGCTTCCCTGAGAAATATCGCAAATCTGAATGCCATTGCCCAACCTCTGCATTTAGGGGGGTGTCTCTGGTGACTTGCACCTCTGCCTGCCCCGCCTTCTGAGCACCTGAGCTCCAGGAGGTAGCATGAGGCCTCCAGTCCCCTGCACAGATGCTCCAGGATCTGGAGCTCAGCTCAGGGTACAGAGCCAGTCCTGTGACCTCAGGGCCATGGCTCACCCCTAATCCTTGAGGCCAGAAGGATTCAGGGGTCCTGGCCCAGCAGTTTTCCTCCTTGGGGCCCCACGGGCTCATCATGTCCATGAGCGTATGGTATGTGGTGTGTGTGCACGTGTGTGGATTTCCAGGCTTGGTTGTGGCCCCCTCCTCTTGCTTCACCTGCAGGCTGCTGTGGTTGCTGCGAGGTGGACCCAGCCCTGGGCTGTGCCTGCTCCCCTCTGCCCCCAGCAGGCTGGCAGACAGTCTCCCAGACTGGGCCAGCCTGTGCTCTGAAGTGTTGTTGCTGCAGCTGCTGGGGCCCTGTCACTGCTGCCCACTCACCAGGCGGTGGCTCTGAGCTGCTGCTTGGTGGCAGCATGGAAAGTCTTGCCTGCCTGGCACCCCTACCCAGGTGGGAGAGGGGACCTGCAACAGCTGGGGGCACAACACTGAGCTTACTGTGAACTGTGAATGGCCTGCATAAACCTGCTTCCCATTGAAACCCTAGATTCTGCAAGAGTGTTGTCCCTTCCCCTCCCAC